GCGCCGAAGGTCTGGCTGATGCCGTGCTCGGGCCTGAAGGGACCCGGCGCCCTCAGCTTTTCCCCGGCGACGCCTCGCGCTCTCCTCAGCCCCTTCTCCTCCCCATCTCGCCCCCCAGTCCGCTGTCCTGTCTCCAACCCGGCTCGGGGAAAACTCCCAGCGCCAAAGACATCCACATCAAAAGCTGAGGTTTCAGACAAAAAGCTGCCCCTACCCACAACTCGGAGGCTCCAACCAGCCACTGATTTTTACTTTCTCCCTTTAAATACCTATTCTCTGGCTTAAAAAATTCCTTTTCTTTATTCTCCCTTTCTAAGCTTGCCCTTTATTACATTTGGTGATGTTATTTTCGTTTTTATTTTTTCAGCCGGCCCGACTCTGATTTGCCGACATGTCTCAAGCCTCAGCAGCTCAACCCGCGGGCTAGAAACCTCACATTTCCAAGCTGGGCTCGCAGCTCGCTCGGCTCGGGGCAAGATCTTCTCCCCCTCCCTCCAGCTGAAACCTCGCAGAAAACTCCCCCTGCGGTCGACTGGAAAATGAACTCACCCAAATCTCGGTAGGCAGCGGTGGAGGAGGGCTCGGCCAATCAGGAGGCGCTCCCGCCAAGACGGCCCCGCATTGGCTGTGGGGAAAATCAATTATCAAATAATCGATCAGCAGGGAGCTTCGATCTGCCCGGAATGCAAACTGCCAGTCGGGATTCCCGCCCTGATGGTGGCTAAAAGGCTGACTTTCCCAAAGCAGCCAGCCCCTCGCCCCCATCGCCCCCACCCCAACCCACCCCGCCAGCTGCACAAGGAAACCTCACCCCAAACTGGGGGGTGGGGGTGGGGGCATTGTTAGGGGGAAGAGTTGAGACAGATGAGGGGGCTCCTGTCCCAGAGATTGTTTGGAAAAGGTTAGAAGCTCTAAAATGTATTGAGGCCAACTCTTAACAAGCGCAAACTAAAAGAGAATTTGCTTCAGCCCGAGAGGTAGGGCTCGAGTTTCTATTAAGTGGGCTCTGGAGGAGCAGGGGGCACAGGGCGAGCATCAGACCGGAGATCTGGAATCAGGTCCCACCGAGCGCACGTCGCCTCCCTAAGCGACATCTATTGCTTCTTTGAGTTCTGTGCGCGAGTCGGCGCCCGGTCCCCCCAGCAGTGGATAGTGGAGTTCCCATAAAGCACAGCCGCTGAGTCTACCCAGCTTCCCGCACACCACTCGCTCCTCCACACGGTACTCGTCCCAGAGCCTCAGATGCGCTTTGCCTTCAAAGAGATCCGAGTGTTTAAACCCCCGCCCCTAGAGTCCCTTCTCTCTCCCTCTCTCTCTCTCTCTCTCTCTCTCTCTCTCTCTCTCGTTTTAGGGTCTTGTACTTTTCTCCACCGCCAACATGTATACAGTTTTCTGGCACAAACGCCCCGCCACAGGCACATCACGCGGGAGGTGAAGGCAGGCCCGCGTGTCAAAGCCAAGGGGATCCAGGTGACGTACCAGCGCCTTTATGCCCCTGCCTGACATCCTCCCCAACCCCCTGTGAACTTGCAAACAGACTTTCAGGCCAAGATGGAACCTCTGGGTCTCAGGAAGGCGATTTCTCTGTTTATTTCTCGGGAAACTGCGCTGGCTGGGCAGGCAACACAATCCTTTTACGATTACCGAGAGACCCAAACTGGGCCGGCAGCCTGCAAGCCCTTTCCCGAACCCCCAGCCCAGCGACTCTGGCCAATACCCGAGCGCCTTCGGAAGGCGGCTCGCGGGGGTAGGAGCAGGCCCGCCAGGCATCCGCGCCGCTGGTCATAGGGGGAAGCCAGGGGAGGGGGTGTCAAGCCAAACCTTGACTTGGGCGAATCTACGTTTATGATCTTTAAATGAAGTGTGAGGAAAATTGTGTAAGTATAATTTAACTCAGAGAAATTTCCTGCGAAATACATTTCGATGACTGTAGACTTTTAACAGCCCTAGGGGTTCTCCGGCAAGCCTTAGGTAACCAGCTTGGAGTTACCTCAACTCTGCAGCCACATTCTCAAGTTTGGAAAAGGCCAGTTTGGGGATATATATA